TTCTCGCAGTTGGTTCTAAATGAAGAAACCAGACTAATGTTCATTCATTACTTATTCAGTTATTACCTATATGGGGCTATTATTGGGAAGAATTATGACAGTAAAATTAAGCCTGATTTGGACTATAGCATCCTTGATTATTAATGGTTAATTTATATAACTGAATACATTTCCTGCATTCCTAGTTACATGGATTACAATTATTTTCAGCTGAAGGTAGATAGAGTCTCTCTGTCTTCAGCTCTTTGTATTCAGTGTTGAAAACCAGGGTGAAGTTAGAGGAATGGAGGGAGGGGAGGAGAGGGTTAGGGTTTGATACAGTATCTCAATTGCTTCTCCATAGTTAGAACATAGAATAATAGAGTTGGAAGGGACTTTGCGGATCTTCTAGTCCAACTCCTTGCTTGAGCAGGAGACCCTATATCATTTCAGACAAATGGTTATCTAGCCTCTTTTTGTAAGCCTCCAGTGATGGAGCACCAACAACTTTTGAAAGCAAGTAATTTGGTTGCTCTCACCATTAGGAAATTTCTCCTTAGTTATAGGTTCCTTCTCCCCTTGGTTAGTTTCCAACCATTGTTTCTTGTCTTACCTTCTGGTGCTTTAGAAAATAGTTTGATTCCCCTTGTCTTTGTAGAAGCCCCTCAAATATTGGAACATTGCTATTATGTCACCCCTACTCCTTCTTTTCATTAGACTTGACATATCCAATTCCTGTAACAGTTCTTTGTATGCTTTAGCTTCCAGCCCCCTAATCATTTTTGTTGCTTTTCTCTGCTCTCTTTCCAGAATCTCAACATTTTTTTTATATTGTGGTGACCAGAACTGGATGCAGCATTCCACGTGTGGTCTTACAAGGCTTTGTAAAGCAATACTAGAACTTCATATGATCTTGATACTATCCCTCTGTCTGCATGTTGTCCGTCTATCTATCTATCTATCTATCTATCTATCTATCTATCTATCTATCTATCTATCTATCTATCATCTATCTATCATCTATCTATCTATCTTTCCCTCTAGCCTACATCAACTTTTTTGGCTGCTGCTGCACACTATTGGCTCATATCTAAATAATTGCCCACTAAGACTCCAAGATCCCTCTCACGGTTACTGGCATTAAGCCAAGTTTCTTCTAAGCCAAGTTAAGCCAAATTAGAATTAAAATCTTGTGTCCTGGTTAATTTCTTTTCTTCTTTCTCCATCAATTTGTGTTTATGTATGTGCAGGCTCTTAAACCACAATCCTGCAAGTCGAGACTATCTTGATTTTAATGTATGTATAGCACTTAGTACAAGGTTAGTACTTTGCTATAAAGGTTGCTATTATTACAGATATTGAAATTATTTGCATCATGGAGGTTAAGAGAACATATATAAATCTGAAATTCTCCTTCCTTTGCTTTATTTTTATCAACACATCCATCTCTGATGCTCATTTTGAAAGACAAAAAATTTCAGTGCAATTAATGCAATTGCACAGTACAATTAATGCAACTATGATAGGCAACTAGGGAAGTTCAGGAAGATGTCTGAAGTTGTGCTTGATCTCTAATCAAGCTAACCACACTGTGTGCCTCCAAAAGCTTCTGTCCTATTTCCTATACTTTAAGGGGAAAAATGGCATATATTGCAAGAAAGCCCTGAGTAATGGAAGAAAACACTGTTTTTGGAGAAATCTATCCAAGAATACAATTTTTTGTAACAAAAGTCCTTCTGTTCTAAAAATTAACAAACTTATTTTTTAGATGGAAAAAAAGATTATATATGGCCAGTCAGCTTGTCTGCATGAGGCCAGTTTTTCATTAATCGGTAAGCAGTACTGTATACACCAGGTTCTTTGCTGTTTAAAGACCTGATTGTCAGTTTTTATAAAAAGACAATTAAGTCTTCTACACCTTTTTTCTATGGCAATGCTAGAGGTAAACTGGCACCAGTAAGAAATCTTTGATTTGTATAGCCTAGAGCAGACTAGACACAAATATATATGCATGGAATCTTGTATGACTCCACTTTACTGTACAAAACACTAATATTGTAGATGGACACAATCAGTGCAAAATTTACTGTAAATAAGATGGAATTGGAAGCAGGAAATATAAGAATCCAGCTATGGGACAGCAATTACAGGAGAAAAAATCTGCATACTTTTACAAAGGAAGCATACTTTACATACTATATCCTTCTGGTTTTATACTGAAGAAGAGTGCCATTTTAATGGCATTTATTAGCATATTATATGTACCATAAATATGTTATTCCTAAAAAAACTGATGAGTGTGACAGTCTAAAAATCATATCAAACAATCAGTCTGATTTTGTTATAAAATTCTATGGTTGAGAAGGTTAATTAAGGGAAACAGGGCAACCACCTCGAAACATAAGCCATGTCTAGAACTGATTTAATCTCATTTGTAGAAATTTGTAGAAAGTGGGACAGATGACTCTATTTTCTCATTTCTCTCCTGGCAATGCTAGATTTGGAGACTGCTGGATAGGGAGAAAGTATTTAAGCTTACTTATATCACTAAAAAAGAATTAAATCCAGCTTAAAAAAATGCATGGTCTGATGAATCCCAATTATTTTTGATATTATTAGCAAAATAGTCTTAGGTAGGTCCAGTTAAGACATTTACTTGGTTATTGACTGCACCATTGTCCTGGTCCCAGATGTATCCTTTCTGAGTGGGAACAAGAATATAGACTGGAGAGAGGCACAAAAATCTTAATAGAACTAATTTTATTGGTCCTTCAGTCTAGCGCCAAAGACTCTGACCTGACATAAGGGGCGTTGTCTTACCTGAACGCCTTTTCTCAGCATGATGATGGAGAATCCACAAATGGGTTGTCTTAATCTTCCTGCTCCAATAAGACTAAGTCTGAAGTGTAAGTACGCCTCTGCTGTGCAAGAGCACCCCAGTTTGAGACTAAGGCGATACACAGACGTTAGTCCGACGCGTGTGCTTTCCTATCACTGGAACCAGGGCCAAACTGACCCTAGACGGGAGGGAGTGGATTCTCCATCATCATGCTGAGAAAAGGCATTCAGGTAAGACAACGCCCCTTCTCCAGCATGATTGGATGGAGAATCCACAAATGGGACATACCAAAGCCCTGTGTCCCTAAGGGGGGGAGTAGTTTGGACCTGGGTCCCACTGGGTAATAATACATGTTGCAACACCCTGCGACCAAAGGAGGCATCTGAGGAGACATACAGTGGGGCAAAAAAGTATTTAGTCAGCCACCAATTGTGCAATTTCTCCCACTTAAAAAGATGAGAGAGGCCTGTAATTGTCATCATAGATAGACTTCAATTATGAGAGACAAAATGAGAAAACAAATCCAGACAATCACATTGTCTGATTTGGAAATAATTTATTTGCGAATTATGGTGGAAAATAAGTATTTGGTCAATATCAAAAGTTCATCTCAATACTTTGTTATATATCCTTTGTTGGCAATGACAGAGGTCAAACGTTTTCTGTAAGTCTTCACAAGGTTAGCACACACTGTTGCTGCTTTGTTGGCCCATTCCTCCATGCAGATCTCCTCTACAGCAGTGATGTTTTCAGGCTGTCGCTGGGCAACACGGATTTCAATTCCCTCCAAAGGTTTTCTATGGGGTTGAGATCTGGAGACTGGCTAGGCCACTACAGGACCTTGAAATGCTTCTTACAAAGCCACTCCTTTGTTGCCCGGGCGGTGTGTTTGGGATCATTGTCAAGCTGAAAGACCCAGCCACGTTTCATCTTCAATGCCCTTGCTGATGGAAGGAGGTTTGCACTCAAATCTCACGATACATGGCCCCATTCATTCTTTCCTGTACATTCTTTCCTGTACATGGATCAGTCGTCCTGGTCCCTTTGCAGAGAAACAGTCCCAAAGCATGATGTTGCCACCCCATGCTTCACAGTAGGTATGATGTTCTTTGGATGCAACTCAGCATTCTCTCTCCTCCAAACACGAAGAGTTGTGTTTCTACAAACAGTTCTACTTTGGTTTCATCTGACCATATGACATTCTCCCAATCCTCTTTTGGATCATCCAAATGCTCTCTAGCAAACTTCAGATGGGCCTGGACATGTACTGGCTTAAGCAGGGGGACACGTCTGGCACTGCAGAATCACTGCAGAGTCCCTGGCGGCGTAGTGTGTTACTGATGGTTGCCTTTGTTACGTTGGTCCCAGCTCTCTGCAGATCATTCACTAGATCCCCCCGTGTGGTTCTGGGATTTTTGCTCACCGTTCTTGTGATCATGTTGACCCCATGGAGTGAGATCTTGCATGGAGCCCCAGATCGAGGGAGATTATCAGTGGTCTTGTATGTCTTCTATTTTCTAATTATTGCTCCCACAGTTGATTCCTTCACACCAAGCTGCTTGCCTATTGCAAATTCAGTCTTCCCAGCCTGGTGCAGGTCTACAATTTTGTTTCTGGTGTCCTTCGACAGCTCTTTGGTCTTCACCATAATGGAGTTTGGAGTGTGACTGAGGTTGTGGACAGGTGTCTTTTATACTGATAACAAGTTCAAACAGGTGCCATTAATACAGGTAATGAGTGGAGGACAGAGGAGCCTCTTAAAGAAGAAGTTACAGGTCTGTGAGAGCCAGAAATCTTGCTTGTTTGTAGGTGACCAAATACTTATTTTCCACCATAATTTGCAAATAAATTCTTTCCAAATCAGACAATGTGATTGTCTGGATTTGTTTTCTCATTTTGTCTCTCATAGTTGAGGTGTACCTATGATGACAATTACAATTACAGGCCTCTCTCAACTTTTTAAGTGGGAGAACTTGTCAATTTTGTAGTGCTGAACAAAGGACAAAGGCGAGGACCATGTTGCCGCCCTACAAATCTCCCCAATAGGTGCCTGGGTCGCCCAGGCTGCCGAAGTAGCGGCACCACAGGTGGAATGGGCCATGATGTGTCCAGGAACTGTCATTGATTGTGCCTTGTATGCGAAGGCGATGCAAGCCCTAATCCATCTCCCTATCGTCGAGGAAGAGACCTTCTAACCCATGGAGGAAGGTTGAAAAGACACAAACAATGCTTCAGATTTATGGAAGGCCGAAGTCCGTTTGATGTAACGTCGCAGAGCCCTGCGAATGTCAAGAGTGTGCCACCGCTTCTCGAGATCATGGGAAGGGTTAGCACAGAAATTTGGTAAAACCACCTCCTGGGACCTATGGTACAAAAAATTTATCTTGGGAATAAAGGAAGGGTCTAGTCTGAGGGTCACCCTGTCTGCATGGAAGATGCACAGGTCCTCTCTGACGGAGAGAGCGGCCAGTTCTGAAATTTGCCTGGCCGACGTGACCGCCACAAGAAATGCTACCTTCATAGATAATAGCTTAAGCAAACATGTGGTAATAGGCTTGAAGGGTGGTGAAATGAGGGCCTGTAAGACCCAGTGTAGGTCCCAAGAAGGATAACGGTGAACCGCTGGAGGCCTGGCGTTAGTCGCTCCCTTTAAAAAGGAACGCATCATAAGGTGGTGTACCAAGGGAGCAGAATTGTCACACATGAGTACTGTAGATAGAGCTGCGACCTGTCTGCGGATGGTGCTTGGGGATAATCCCTTGTCCAACCCATCCATCAGGAATTCCAAAACAATCGGAACAGAAATGTCCAAAAGCTCCACCTTACGACCTGAGCACCAGGTACAGAAGTTCGTCCATGTGGCATCATAGATCCTATTCGTTGAGGGGCGCCTGGATTGTTGAATCATGGCAATCACCCTCGACGAATATGAGTCTCGGGTCAAGGCCCGCCTCTCAAGTGCCAAATGGTTAGTTGGAGCCACTGTGGGTCCGGGTGCTGAAGTACCCCCTGAGTAAGGGTAATACGACCTGCTGGAATCCTCCATGAAGGGGAGACGGAGAGCTCTACCAGGTCAGTGAACCACGGACATCTCGGCCAATGTGGCGCAATCAGGAGGATCTCTGCTCGCTCATGTAGGATCTTGCAGATCATCGTGGGGAGGATTGGTAAGGGAGGAAAAGCGTAAAGCAGTTCTCTGGGCCAGAGACTGCGGAGGGCATCCGTCCCCTCTGCTGTCAGAGACGGAAACCTGGAAAAGAATCTCAGGAGTTGGGAGCTGGCTGGGGAAGCAAAGAGGTCTAAGGTTGGGGAGCCAAACCTGTCCACAATCTCCCGGAACAATCCCGGGTCCAGGCGCCATTCGGCATGGTCTACAGTTGCTCTGCTCAATGAGTCCGCCTGCTGGTTGGCCACTCCGATATATGCTCTGCCCTGATGGAAGCAAGATTGATTTCTGCCCAAGACCCCAACAATTGGGCCTCCTCCATGAGAGGCCTGGACCTGGTCCCCCGTCTGTTCACGTGGGCCTTTGCAGCAATGTTGTCTGTAAGTACCAGGACATGCTGTCCTGCAACCCTGCTGCTAAAATGTCAGACATATGGCTCTGAGTTCCAGCCAGTTTATATTATTTTTCAATTCCTTTTGGGACCACCGACCCTGAGCCCAATGCGACAGGAGATGCGCTCCCCAGCCGAACAGGCTGGTGTCCATGGTCAGGGAGATTCTGGCTGGCTCCTTGAACTCTGTTCCCCGTGACATACAGTAGCTGGGGAGGCTCACCATCGAAGGGAGTTCAACACCGGACGTGGAATTCGAACCTTCTGGTTGGAAGCACTGATGCGTAACCTCTGAAACGGAAGTAGAAGCCACTGTAACTCCCGGGCATGAAGGCGTGCCCACGGAACGATTTGTATACAGGACACCATCTTCCCCAGGAGTTGTGACAACACGACTAAGGTGACTACCCTGTCTCTCCGAATTTGATGAACAAGGGCCCGAATGCTGTCCTGTCGGTCCTGTGAGAGATAGACCGTGCAATTGTTTGTGTCTATGACTGCCCCTAGATGCAGGAGCCGGGTTTAGGGCACTGTATGACTTTTCTGAAAATTGACAGAAAATCTGTGCTCCTGAAAGGTCCTGACAGTGACGGCGAGATCTGACCGAGCCCTCTGGATGGAGGAGGACTGTATCAGTATGTCATTCAGATAGCACTGAACTCTGATCGGAGTCTGTCTCAGGTGGGCAGCCAGCACTGCCAATATCTTTGTAAATACTCTGGGTGCTGACAAGAGGCCAAATGGGAGGGCCCTGTACTGATACTGCTGGTGGGCATAACAAAACCTGAGAAATTTGCAATGCCCAGGGAGAATGGGGATATGTAAATATTCCTCTGTCAGGTCTATTGATGTCAGGAAGTCCCCTTTTCTGATGCTGGCTAAGATCGATTGTAGCGACTGCAACTTGAACTTCCTTTACATCAGATAGTAATTTAGATCCTTTAAATCTAAAATTGCCCTCCAGCCCCCTGAAGCCTTCGGGACGATGAAGAGAGTGGAGTAAAACCCCCGTCTCTTTTGGTCCTCTGGCACTGGCTCTATGGCCCGTATCTGTAACAGGTGGGAGATGGCCTCTGACATGAGAGCCGCTCTGATCTTATTCGTGGGGGTGGGACAAGTCCGGAAGTGATCCAGTGGATTGGACCAAAACTTCAGCATTAGACCTTGAGCTATGGTGTTCAAGACCCATGAGTCCGTGGTGGTGACTGCCCATACATCGGAGTAAAGGGACAGACGACCTCCTATGGGTGGAGTATCCCTGGAATCACTTCCCTCATTTGAAAGGGCATCCTCCTGAGCCTCGAAAGGGCTGCTTGGACTGGAATTGTGGTTGGGGTCTGGATGCGGGACGGTCCTGCTGGCACTCCGATCTCTGGTAGAAAGGGCGAGAGGTCTGGGGCCAGTCCCAGTTTGAGGCTGGCCAAAAGGACTGCCTATGATAATAGTTCTGTGAAGCCCCACCCCCAAATGCTTATCCCCCCTCTTAGTGTTGTTAATAAGAATCTTGCATTTGTCCTTGCCCTTAACCAAGTAAGGGTTGAGGGCTTCACCAAAGAGGTGTCCCCCAGCGTAAGGCTTAGTAGCCAAGCGCCACTTAGCCTTTAGGTCCGCCCACCAGTTTTTGAGCCACAAAAGTCTACATGCTGAAATGTCTGCCGCTATGGCTCGCGAAGAATATCTGGCAGCATGGAGGGAGGCATCAGCCATGTACTGGGATGTGGCCACCACCTTACCCAGGTTATGGTGAACACAAACCTGGTCAGGAGGGATCATGTCCTGGAGTTCACGGAGCCACAGTACAGAAGCCCGAGCGAAGAAGGCCATGGATGTGGAGGCCTTGATTGCCCAAGCCGATGCCTGATGCGATCTGTGCAAGGCAGCTTAAAATTTTTTGTCCTCTGCCTTAAATGCTTCAGCCATGTCCCCTGGAGTATTTGTGTTGGAAAAAAGAGAGTTAAGTGGCTCATCAATTTGAGGGACCTCCAGTAAGGAGGCGAAAGAGAGAGCCACATTAAATAAACCCTTCTCTGAAGTCCCCAGATTGGGGATAGACCCCAGGTTACCCCACTGCTCTGTACTGTGTTGCAGAAGAAGGGGGAGCAGGGAACATGCTTTTGTGGTAACACCAGTTCAGCATAAAGCGGATTGGGGTCCTTAGATGTAGATGGAGTTGGCTGGGCCTCCTGTTCCGGGGTGATGTTAGCTGTCGTGCAGGCCTTGAGCAGCAAGGAGCTGAAGAGGGATTGATCAAAAAGACCAGCGGGGGGAGTCGGGTCTGGAGTTGAGACGTCCTCGTCATCTGACAGGAGCAGGCCTAAGGGATTGAAGTCTGCAGAATCCGATTCTGAGGAAACCTTCTGTGTGAAGTCTGGCATTCCAGGATGGAGGAGTGATCATGGAGGTATAGCGGGAGCTTGTAGAGGTCATTGGGAGACCAATGAGGCCATGAACTGGGCAAAGGCCTGAGTTATCATAGCCTGAAACTGATCAGGCCCTAGTGTCTGTGGTTCAGGGGGATGAAGACTGCTGCAGTGGGTGTAAAGGTAGCCTGTGGCCCAGATAGAGTCTGTGCGGTACCCCCATGTGCTTCTAGGTTTAGCCCTGATAAGATAGGTTCTACGTGTGTCACCTCCCTGGGAGGAGACCAGGCCCCTGGGGTTAAATTACAATGGGCTGACTGGGGCTCAAATATAGATCCCCCAGGTGGAGTATTGGCTGTGCTTCACCTGGAGCCATTGACCTTGCCCTGGAGATTTCTTCTCCTAAGGCCTGATGATATCTGTTGGCCTCCCTACCAGCTGTCCTAGGCTTTTTGGAGTGCTGGGCCTTGGTCTTTGATATGAGCTTCCCCGCCGCCTCTGTAGAGGCCTTGTGCTTCTTTCTGGCAGGGGAGGGGGGGTCAGTACTGTCCTGTGAGGACAGAGGGAAGGAATTATCTGCCATCCTGCTAGGTAAATTCCTCTGTCAACTGTAATTTGGCTAAGGGAATCTTCTGGCTAATGTTCCCAATGAGGCAGAGATGGCAGGCACTCTGACGGTTCAATTCAAGTGGTTAACCGCCCCCCCCCCAAGCGCTGTAATTGACCACTGAAGAGAATCACCTCCTTTTAGGAATACAATTCTGAGGTGTGAATAGGAATTTAGATGAGGGAGGGGTGGTGGGGGTCAACTGGTGAGGCAATGTGTCCTTGTGGGGACGAGCTTGCTCTCCCCAATTGCTGAGTGAATGTCCAGGCAGCAAACAGAAGGGTAAAGTGATTCCTGTTAGGCGCGGCTATCAAAACGGCGGCTGCGATTCAAGCACGCCAAAAACAACTGTCCTAGGGCTCTGAGGCTGAGACAAGCCTAGCTGTTGTGTCCCGTCCAAAATGGCAGCCCCGCTCAGATCTTCGCAAATTAGGCTGTCAGGAAAACCCCTGAAGCTGCCATGATCAAAATGGCGGCTGTGTGATTTTCGCACCTAAACGGCCGCCCAAAGTGCCTGGAATCCAGCCCAATTGCCGATCTGCGCTTCGCGCCGATCAGCTGGCTGGTGCTGCTGCGGGAGCCTCCGGATCTTCACTGTGTCACAGCTGGGCAGTAAAGTCAATTTTTTAAAAAGAAGAAATCTGCATATTGTACTGAATCCCCTCAGCCGAGCTAAAGGCTCTGGGCTCCGAGCAGGTTAGCTGTGAAAGCCAATACTTTCTTCAAAGTCTTTGGAATGTTAATGAGGCCAATACTTTCTGCTGTCAAAGTCTTTGGAATGTTAATGAGGGAGGAATGTTCTTGGGAGGGAGAGCCGTCCCAATTCAAGCAGGCAGTTGCCTGCAGGGAATCCCTACAAGGAAGGCTTTCCTGTCAGAAGGCTAAAATACTAATCAAAGGTTTCCTTTCTTGTTTTTGTTAAAAATAATATTAACTAAAGTCCAGGATGAAGGGAAGGAAATTCCACAAATGGGTTATACAACCTGCTGTAGTCTGAGTAATCAAAAATGCGTCTGTACAGCAAGAGACTAAGTCTAAAACTGGGGTGCTCTTGCACAGCAGAGGCGTACTTACACTTCAGACTTAGTCTTATTGGAGCAGAAAGATTAAGACAACCCATTTGTGGATTCTTCATCCAATCATGCTGGAGAATATACTGTAGCCTCCACAACTGAGGAAGCAATGGTGCTGCTGAATTCAGAGCAAAGGGCAGGTAGTAAATAAGTGTCAAGTCACATTGCTTGGAAAAGCACATTGGGAATAGTCCTCTGCTGTAAAATAGTCTCCTCAGGAGAAGACTATCATCCCTGGATAGCTCTGTTTCTGCAGTTAATTCTGGTCATCATTAGCTTTATGTGGGAAATAGGCGTTCAAATATTGGTGCGATTTCTATGACAGTTTTACCTTAAGTTACTTTAAATTGCAAAGTTCATTTAATTCTGTTAAAACTTTGATAATACTTTGTAATAATATAGAACACTTTAGAATGTGTTTCTAAAAATATTTTGGAATGTGTGGGGATATAACTCTT